AAGCAGGAGCCCCCACGGCCAGGTCACCTCCAGCTGAGTGGAAGGGCCGTCACGTCAATGGCCAGTCTGGGGACACCGAGCCTCCGAAGCATGTGGAGCCTGGTGCTGGGTCTGCTCTGGGCATGTGTTTGGGTACCCTGCTAGCGGGAGTCAGCTCACCCCAAAGCCCCGGGCAGGGTGAGCAGCCAGGCCTGTGGGGTCGGCCGAAGAGGATGCGCCAGACTCTGGACCCCAGTCAGGCCTATGGCTGCTGCACAGCCTGGCCTGACTCCTGCATCCCACGAGGCTCCACGAAGGACGGGCCACCTAAGCTAGTGATGGCATGTGGACGAGTGGGTACCGTCCAGGCCCTGCTCGAGGGCCTGTGCCTGCCCACCTGCGAGCTGGTCCTCAGGGATGGCCCGCAGCATGTCGTCCCACACCAGTGGCGTGGTGCCGGGGTGCCGGCTGCGCACGTGGCTGGCCACAGACCTCATGTGGCACAGACACAGCTGGGCTTTGCTGTTCTGCCCCTGCTGCAGCCACCGCCTGGAGGCCTCACCCTGGCCTAGGTAATAGACCTGCGGAGAGACAGCGGAGGGCAGGCGGGGGGCCTCTGCAGCCCCGGACCCGCTCACCCCCAAGATCGACTCCCACCCTGCTCCCGATCACTGAGGGCCAGCACGGCCGTATGCGGCTGACCCAGGCCATCCACACGGCCTCGGACAGGAGCAGGACACGTGACAGGCCAGACACAGAGGCCCACGCGCAGCTCCCTCTCCAAGAAGTGTCCACGGAGATGGAAAGGCTGCCAGGGGCTAGAGGCAGGCGCAGGGTTCCGGACTGTGCCGAGGTGCTGGCGCAATCACGACACGGCCACCACGGCGGGTTTGCTGTGCTCGCCCGCGCACACATGCACACCTAGTGATGAACCTGGGGCTTGCACACCCGGCTGGCCCCTTCCATAGCAGCCCTCCGGGTGGCCCGTGCTCTCTAGCTGAGGCTGGAGTGGGGGCTCGCTGCTGGACACTCCCAGGAGACTCGCCTTCCTAGCGTGCTTCGAGGTCTGGATCTTCCTTCCACTCGCCCAGAGCGGCACCCCCGCAGCACTCAGACTGGCGGGGGGGCATGCCTCTGCCCTCCTGGGCCCAGTAGGGTAGGCTCTGCCACTGCCGGCGCAGGGCGGCAAGGCCAGCCTCGGCCCAGCCCACGGATGCAGCCCTGACAGGCTGTGAGGCTCAGTGGCTCCCCCGGCCCCGCCACACGGTCCCTGAAGGGCCAGCTCGGAACGGCCACGTGTGCACTCCCCTCGGCCAGCCCTATCTTTTCTTTAGCACGTGGGCTGTTTTGTTTATTTCGGAGAAGAAACCAGGCGTGGGAGGTGACCCGAGGCCGAGGCTGGTGCACCCACCTCGTCACAGCCGATGTGTAGCCAGCGTGCGCCTCCGTGCCGCTCCAGCCCCTGGTCCAGCATGG